AATATCAGCTGAGTAAACAAAAGCAATTTTTCAACGTTTGAGGATTCTTCCTTGACGGGGGCTCAAGACATGTTATAGCCTGTTTTTGATAGCTGAATACTTTGTCTTTCAAGAAAAAGTATCGGGAAGTTTTGTTTCTTTTTGACACGCGAACGCAAATTAAGTTTAGATTTCTAATTTTCAGCCTTTGCGTTGGACCAATTTGGCCATAGTCGGGGGCGAAATTCGTTTTTCTTGATTTTCACGACTTTAAAGCGTTTCAAGCGGAGAAAAACTGTATCACATTTCATATCTACCTAAGGGCTATACGTGGACGAAAATAGAGAAAAATCGATTTTTCGACTTCTGCCGCGAAATTTAAATCTTACTTGAGTTTTGGTGACATTTGCTCTTAATATCACTCAATCATTAACAGGGTCCAGTTGTTCAAAATTGGAAATGAGTTGTTTCCTTCCTTCGAGCGGGTCAAAAGTAGAGTTCAGCTCGTTAGACATCCGAGTCATGGCTATTCCTGCTTACGGCGTATACTTTTCAGCTCCGAAGAACTAGACACATCTATGATGGTGTAACTAAATAACTCGCTACACAACAAAGTGTCAACTTAAAATTTAGACCTAGCTTATCAATGCAATTTTGTTTTACTCTTAACTGCTTCATCTGCAATCAAAATATTTAGAGAAGAGTTACTGAAAAAGGTTGTTAACTTTTAGTCTTAAATTACCGTTTATCGGTTTTAGTACCAACCGACTATCCTGTGTATAATGAAATAACTAAGGAAGTGCGGGATATATTTGTGTTAATGTATAACCAAACCCAACTTGATTTGCTGTCTTTCTTTGCGGTTTTTAATATATGATATATTTTTTTATTTCCTATTCAGAAACTTGGCTGAGAATTTCATTGAAACCCTTGACAGTGACATTTTTAAGGGACATAAAACACTGATAAATCTGTAAGTTGAGGACAATAAGTTTGAAGCTAGAGAGTCGTGGGTGGTTCCACCAAATCTGTAATATTTTGACTTGTAGTCTAGCACCTGAACATTCTTCAGCTAGTTTGTGACATCACGCCTAACCTGATGGTCTGCGCATGCTTGACCCAGAAAACTGTAAGTTAATTCGACTGTGTCTTGCTGAAGTACGATCCTTGGCTCGACCAAACTCTCCTAAGATGTCGCCGAGGAGTACCAAAAGGTACTATTAGGTATTAAAAAGTCTTCCGCTTTCTTCTCATGATGGGCTGATCTTAATCAGCTTTACTCTGATGTAGCCAATAAATAGTACCTACGATATTTAGTTAAAACTCGCGAACTTTCCGGCATTGCAAGCCCGTTAAAAAAGATTTCAAAGTCTGTTTTGATAGTGAAGTTTTTGAATTAAATTTTTATAGTCTCCTGTTCGACATCAGTAGGCACATTTTATGCGGAAAGAAACTAATAACACGCACAGAAGTAGACACGGCCTTATCACTCTAAACCTTTTTTGATTTATTTTCGATTTTTGCAAAATACCTTAAAACCATAAACTTCATATAGCAGTGATGCTGGCAACTTTTCAAACACCACAAAACGATCCTAACGCCTTGGTAGCATTAAACTGTGACGAAGAGCGCTTTATAACTACGACAGTTTTGAATGTCCGATTGAAGAAAACAAGTGGCAAATGCTTCTTCTTAAGGTGGGACTTAACCTAAAAACACACCATGTTTCAAACATTTTCTCGTGGCTAAGAGTTAACTCCAAACCATGGCAAAGTATACATTTTTAAAAAGCTCAAAGACCAAAGACTATGAAAAAAATATTTGTGTACCCTATAACTGTATTGTAACCTGACACCGGCTGATTAAATCTGCCACCTGCTGGGGAATGCCAGGGCTTAATCTAGAAAAGATAACTCCCACAAGAACTGATCAATAGGAATAATTTTTACATTTTAAAAAAGAAGACAAATAGCTTGCTGGGATGAGCATAGAGATTTTTGAAAAGTTAAAAACACGTGAAATGATGACCAGTGAAATCTGATACAAAAAATCCAGCATTCGTTTCAATACATAACTTCGACAGAATGCCCTGGATGGAAAAGTTCCATGCTTATCCCACAGAACGTACTCAGAACAACAAATCCTGCAAATCCTGGAAATTTTAGCTCAATTGAATAAATCCTTCTCAAGATATCTTTTCTAGAAGGCGAAAATAACTCGTTTTGAGAAAACGAGCTTTAAACTTACAGCAACAGTACTTGTCAAAATAAAACTTCAATACCTTAAGATTCGAGTTCCGTGAAAAACAAAACTTCGAATTTCTTTCAGAATTTTTGATTAAGTCCCGCCTTAAGTGACGAATTTCTCGAGGCTCTCCAGGAAAGGCACTCGGCACTTCAACTTGTGGCAGAGTCTCTTGTATACTTATCCAATCAGGGCATTGCATGCTGGTCAAAATGTGTCCGAAATGTCCGCAATTGGTGGCATTTGTAACAGACTCAGTTTTTTTTCCGTGCTACTTTGCAAGTTGAATATAAGAAACACTGCCTGGTCACACAAATGAACACTTAAGGGTTGTCAGGTTGACTGTTTAGAGAAGATTTTCAAAATATGATATCTTAAAAACTTACCTAGATATCAAAAACAGAATGTTTAATTAATAAATAGAGTAGTGCGATAAACGAGATAAATCATGATAGTCCTCGTATGTTTTCTTTTTAGAATTTTGAGGGAAAACAGATTGTCGAAAATCGAAGAAAGGTCTTTTCAGGACCAATTTCTGCTTTTCTTTTTGTAAGAAGAATGCTGTTTTGTGCTTTTAGATTCGATTCATTTCATTATCAGATTGTTGGCAAAAGAAATATTCACTTCGTAATTGCTTTTATTTCTGTTCAGAAGTCTGGCAGGGAATGAGTTACAGTACATTCCGTCAAGCTTTCCATATATTTATATTCGGCTTTGGTTTTTGTAAGTAAACATCCGAGTTTATTGTATTTATAATTTTTGATTGACTAACTGGGTTGATTATAATTGTCATCGGAGAGGCAGTTAGCTCATTTTTGGTCTGTTGATTGGTTAGCAGTAAGACTGAAAGACTCTGAGCCTCATAGGGAGGGGACGGCTGTTCAATCGTTAAAGAGTTTGATAGCACTCTTCATAGTCTCCTCTTTTAAAAGTGGTCAGAATTGCTGTCAACACCTTACAATCTTGTTACTGATACAATGTTACAATGTTATGTTATTTTACTTATTTTATTATAGGGATTTGTCGCACAACCATTTAGCTCAAATTCCCTCTGAGCTTTTATTACGGACGCCTCGTCTTTTCAAATTGTAAGGGAACTTTAGTTTCTTCACCGTATTGAACACAACATCGTGACAAAGTCCGCAACAACAGTAGATCAGTTTCAGTAGGACAGGACGTTTTACCTGAAATAAATAGATATACTTGAAATGTTTACCTGCCAAAAATATTCAGGCCCTACAAACCATAAAAATGTCTTGTCATAACATAGTTTTAATCAAATTCATAAATACCTATACGTTGCGTCTTGCTTCTGAAGAAAATTAGGACATAACCGAATCTCTGAAGTGCCTTCTGGAGCATTCATTCATCTTAAAGACCTTGGATTCCTGTACGTAGATATCGCGATGTGTGTAACTGTACGAGTAACCTACAGTAGGCAGGGATATACCTCTATTAATGGAAACCTGTTCTCTAGTAATGGGTGCGAGGATCGACTGAAGTCGTTTGTCCGTATCTAAAGCTGATGTCTGCGTTATTGTTAGAGTTGAGGAGAAACCGGAATGTGTTCTTCAGTAGACTTCGACAACGCAAATTTTGACCTGAAGTGTCTCTCGAAATGTCATAATTAGAGTGATTAAATATGAGTCAATAAAGTCTCTCCATTTCGTTTATGGTAAGCTGTCTCGCCATGTATCAGTCGCCTTCAAAATCGCCATCGATTCGTGAATAGAAGTAAAAGATTATACTTCTGTTCTTATGATTTGTTGTGCCAAATAGCAAGCTTTTTCTTTAGACTCTATCAAAAACCATAAGCATTGCATATTATAGATTAAAAAAATCGTTGCAGTCATAATTACCATTCAGTAAAATAACATCTAAACTGAGCAAATTGTAATAATGAACTGTGAATCTAATCTCTATCTGAAAATTTAACCGACCAACATTTAGGGACTTGTCCAAAAACAAGATTGAAATTCTTCAGCCAGCAGCGTTCACGGGCCTGAAACGACTTGTTATTCTGTGAGTTATACACCATTACTTCTTAATTCAAGATAACAACAATTCCAGGATCAATGTTAAAACTGATTTTAATATATGGAGGCCCGTTCTGGTCAAAATTGTAGTAATGAAATTGCCCCACAAGTCAGTTTTTTCAGTCACTGTTTTACTTTTTATGAGCTTGCTGCGTATTTTCATCGGCGGTACAAATTTTTTTTTTTTGAGGTGGCTGCTTATTTTTTTAGCAGCCTGAATTATTTTGATTTAGTCTGGTTAAATTTTTTTGTGGGTTCTACGAATGAATTTTTTCACTCGTACTGCAAATTATTTTTGACTGGTACTGCGAATTATTTTTTACTTGTGGTACTGAGAATTATTTTTTCATTGGCGCTGACAATTATTTTTCAAGGTATCGTGAATTTATTATTTGGCCTACAATACATTGCGGGCTTGCGATTTGAGGCGGACTGGCTCGAGTACTTTCCCGCTCGATTTCTTCGCGCCATCTTTGTGGTTCCATCTTTTAATTGTATTGAAAATATTTGGAGATGGATAAATCTGTTCAACGGCAGATACGTGAGATAGCCAATAATGCTGTAACAGAAATCAGTGGAATTTCTCAGCTAGTGAACTCCACNAAAGATTATACTTCTGTTCTTATGATTTGTTGTGCCAAATAGCAAGCCTTTTCTTTAGACTCGATCAAAAACTGTAAGCATTACATATTATAGATTAAAGAAATCGTTGCAGTCATAATTACTATTCAATAAAATAACATCTAAACTGAGCAAACTGTAATAATGAAGTGACGGTGAACCTAATCTCTATCTGAAAATTTAACGACTAACTTTTAGGGACTTGTCCAAAAACAAGATTGAAATTCTTCGGCCAGCCGCGTTCACGGGCCTCCAACGACTTGTTATTCTGTGAGTTATACGCCATTACTTCTTAATTGAAGAGAACAACACCTCCAGGGTCAATATTAAAACTGATTTTAATAGGTCCGTGATTTAAACTCCAGTCAGTACTCCAAACGGCCCCAAGTTTTGATTCCGTGGCAAAACTCTGTTGATGACTGATGATTCAAATCTCAACAGTTGAAAGTTGGAAGACCTCGGATGATCTTCGGTCATTGATAGGGTGATCCTCGAGTACTCAGCTTGTGATAATGGCATGAGTTGAAATTGCCCACCGTGTTATAATCGACCACTGTTTCATTCTGTCAAGCTGAACAGGCAACGTGAAAAGACATACATACAGAGTAGATGTGTTTGGCTGTAATTAATATTCTGATCTTGCGTAATTGTAGCTGCGCTCAGGGTTGAAACTTCCCTTAGCTGTCAGAGAATGATTTAACGCCTGTAAATATGAAAACAAACTTTTTTTAATTTATTGGTGATCAAATGATTAATTAATTATTGAATTTCGTTATCTCAAATATCGTGATTTGTCAGCTTCTCTGTCAGTTTGCCGGCCACTGACAAAACACGATATTTTGATCAACCTCGCCCAATAATTGTTAATTAGTATGACCAGTACTCAGCCATCAGCTAGCCCATACAGACCTTCAAGTAAGATGACAAATGATTTATTTTCTCAGGTTACTTCAAAACAATCAATTTTCATCGTTGCCTAATGGAACTTTCACGAACATGACCTATCTGAAATATCTGTAGGTATTTTATGGATCAAGATATTCTTGAACACTGGGCAATTTCAGGATATTTTCCGCAGGATAACATTATACGAAGCTCAGTGTATTTATAGTTAGTGCTCTATAAAACCCTTTCTTTCTAGTTCTTCGTTATTCATGTTCTCTTTCCTAAAAGATCTTTCGAAAGAAAAATATGTCAACCCAACAGAAGCATAACTCGTCGATTAAGACAAGAACTAACTTGATCTTTCTGATGTCTGTACTTTGTGTAAACAATTCAGGCGAAATGATTCTACTAAACCATTTATATTTTGCAACGAGCTAAAATGAGCCGTGTACATTAATTACCGACTTACTCGGTAATGCACTGAAAAACTTAACCGACCCAAAACGGGAAACAAAGGTAAAAGTAAATTGAAACTGCTAAAGAACGGGATGACCTGTCGTGATAGCGTCTTGAGTACTGTCGCTTTTTTCGTATTGCACAACATTGTAACCTTCACCCGACTAACTTTTGTCAATATCTTTCTCCCAGTGACCTTTCGAGGAATCGCATTGCTGTCATTCAACGTCATCACTTCGACAACCTTAACGATTTATCCTTCTTGTGAGTAGATTTCAACCATTGATGATTTTGTCTTAGCAGCCCAGAAACAACGACCCTCGAGGATCCGTGTCACCCAAATACAGTGTAACTGCTCGAACCGGGCCGCTTGAAGAAGGTGATCGTTTTCATTTACGAACTAAGGACGTTGGAGAGTACAGACAATAGTTCTGAATATTGTAGACCTCTCAGGAATATTTGTCATAATTAGATTGGTTCGTTTCGATCCTGAACTTATAGCATCTTTAAACGGGTTTCGGGTTATCTGTCACAAGACGAATTTTGAGGCTAAATATTTGAGAAAATTGATAATTATGATAATCAAAACCAGGCACGGGATCTGTAGAGTATATAAAGTATAAAAGAATCATTGGCCCGTTTACAAAAGAGATCGCCACCGTTGGTCCTACAAGTATCCGTGTTTCGACGATACAAACTCTTACGAATTACTATTTTACCGAATTCTACAACGACTCAACAAAAACTGAGCACTAACACGAGCGATTAGAATATTAATTTACATTAAAAATTAGGCTATCTTCGCTCCTAATGAGGAGCATAGGGCGTCAACCCTGGACCTCCACCTGACTTTATTTTTTTTTTGAATATTAATTAACAGCGGCGAAAATTTAAGTAAGCATTCAAATCAAGATAGTTCATAGTCGGCAGTCTTTTGTTCTACCGTCCCAACGGACGGCATAAGCGTTAATGAACATTCGTGGGAAGAATCCGGTTCAAGTACTTTTACATTACATCTGGAAATTTAATGCAGCTCTGAACCGCCTTCAGAGGACATTTTTAGACCTAACCAAAAGTTGTTAGTTGTTATTCTGAAAAAAAAAAAA